AGCTTTCGTAAAAAGGAGAAGACACAGTGAGCCGCTTCTACAAGCTGCTCATCCGAGTGTTCTGCCTATTTTCAGTTTGAGCTTGCCTTTTATTTTCAGAGAAGGGAGCGGTAAAAAGGAAAAGACACTTTTGTCTCTGCACACAGGTCATCTAGTCCTTTCTAATGAGAGTGAGTTCTCATGAGGGCGGGGGAATGATTATCTGTTGTTGGAGATAATCATGCTGCAGACACATTCTCTCAACATAGCATCAGTAGAAAGTTAAAACCTTTAAATGAAAAAACAAATTAGTAATATAAAACTACTAATATAGGAGTGGTAACACATAATTCTAACAGCTGCATTTGATTGTAACAAATGCTGCAGTTTAAATCTCTGTTTTGTTAAAAGAGTGTGCAACTTTTCCAAACAAGCATACATGCAGCTTTTGAAGAAAGTGGTTGTTGAAATTATATGATTTTAGTTATTATTTTGTAGATGGGATTTATATGCTGATTTTGAGGGTTAGGGTTGATGCTGGTGTCACACAGAGGAACTTCTTTCAAGTCTTTTCATTCAATCTGTTCTCATTCCGAAGCCTACAGTATGTTTGTCTAACTAAAAACTCTGATGACGCTTGATGTCATCACAGTCTGACAAACCTTGGTCCTTCACTTTTTTCAATATGCCCAGATGGGTCACTTATCCTGGAGTCGTATATTTTTGGATATGACATCATTCATAATTCATCCATCAACAGAACCTCTCATTTCCTTTCTGTCAGAAACATATTCCTCGCCTTTTTTTTCTTCCCTTCGTTCACTCCAGTAACGTTCACCTTTCATAAATCTGCCATGTCACCGCTTCTGTCTTGTCTCTTTGTTTGCCTCTGGGCTGAGCAGCATTGCAGTGTAGGTTGCCTTTGATTTATAATCACTCAGCGTTGCATCTGCGCCACTAAATGGATCTGATTTGTCAAATAGTGGTTTGGAAAATGTGATGCTTTTGTCAGCTGATCACAGGCTGATATTAGTCATAAAGACTTAATCTGTTAGTTTTTCTAAACACACTTTTTTTCACAGCCTAATCACAAAGATGTACAGTCAATAAAGACAGACTTTAAATGTGGCAGTTAGTTTTCTTTTTTTTCTGCGAATAATGTCTAAAATCCCATTAATCGAGTATTGACCACTGACACTACTGCAAAGCACTTCACTGTTTTTGTTGTTTTTCTCTCTTTAATTTTTTCTGATCATCTCTGATCCTTCAAATCTGTGTGATTTACAGATTGCAGAGTGGGAGGAGAGGCAGCTTGATGAGCAGGTCGACTTCAATAACTGCAAGATTGACCCCGCCCCTTTTCAACTGGTGGAGCGCACTTCGCTGCATAAGGTCTGATTGGAGCTCCAGACGCTGTTTACCTTCTTTGTGCACAAAAGTTCATCCTTCCTGATGGATGTGTTTCTCAGTGTTTAGAGGCATTAACCAGTCGCCATTCTGAGCTGCACAAAGCCTTTCTGCTTTACATCCATCAACAGAACCTTTACCTTTACACAACCCTTGACTGTTTTCTCACAGTGTCATATTATAAACATCAATGCTGAGGTTTTATGGTAGACCAACATAAAGTACCACATTGTTGTGAAGTGCAGGGAAAATCTGAAAAGTAACATTTCACCATGACTGAGTAATTAATTCCATATTTCATCTCTCGTAGACTCACACCATTTTCTCCCTGCTGGGTCTCGACCACGCCTACGTCACCAGCATCGGCCGTCTCATCGGGGTGGTTTCCCTCAAGGAGGTCAGTCTGGTTTTTTCCTCCTTTTTTGTGAGAGTTAATATATAATCATTGCAGAATTGAATTCTGCTCATATCTGCGACATCCATTAGCACTGTCAGCACGTTTGTTGTTTTTAAAACTTTCTCATCATAAAAAAGATAATAATTTTATTATTATTTTAATTTTTATGGATTCCAATTTTCCATTGTAATCATAGTTATTAACCCAAAAAATGTGTATTGAGTGAATGAAAAATATTTCAACCAAATAACCAAAGAATTTCAGATGTAAAACTTGCTATTCACCTTTAACAAATGTAATAAAGTCCTGTTATACTGAATGCTTTTGCAAGATATTTAAAACGCATTCTTTGTACAAAACATAGTCTCACATATTTCACATTATAAAAAGTCTTCCTTTTGTGAAATCAAAATACATCAGAGTTTAACTTGACACAAAAAAGTGTTCCAAAGAAACAAACAGTAGAACTTAACCATATGTTGGACTGGTCTTGTTATTTTTCTGGTTTTCTTTTCCAACTTAGGATGAACATCAGCCAAAAAATTATTCCAAACTGCCTTTTTCCGTTCCTTTTTTTTCTAAACTGCTCTTTATTCTTTTAGCTACGCAAAGCCATCGAGGGATCTGTGACAGTAAAAGGCGTGAAGGTGCGCCCGCCTCTGGCCAGCTTCAGAGACAGTGGGACCAGCAGCAGCGAGACGGAGGCGACAGAGCTCCATAAGCTGTGGGACCGTCACAGGAGCGTGTCACTGCCAGGAGAACAACCCACGTCGGAGTCCGACGAGAAGACCCAGTGAGGGAAAGCCGAGGACAAAAAGGATGAAGAGGTGTAGGTGGGGGAAGAAGAGGTGGAGGATGCATTGAGATCTTTAATCTCCAAAGCTACAAACATGCAAAACTCCTCAGGGCTACAGATCATTATTTAAAGATAGAAAGTTCTCCTACACCGTTCTCCCTTCTCTCCACATCTGCCACTCTACCTCCTCCAACACCGCCTCCTCAGCTTCTTTACTCACCCAGTGCTTCTTCCAAGAGCCTTGCAGTGGCTCAGCCAGACACTCCACAGGAAGTGTCCGGTTCTCCATTTACCCTTGGGGTCCTTCAGTGTATCGTGTTTGTCACCTCCAAAGCTGGGACTGAGATTTTTAAAAGGGATTTTTTTTTTTTTTTTTGTAGACTTTATTTTTTTATTTTATTTTTCTTGTGTTTAGAATTGGAATCAAGGTTTGAAGATGCAAAATATGTTGAGCAAATCTTCCATTTGAGTCCTGAAATTCAACAAGGAAGAATACTGTAATGCTTTAGTGTACTGGGAATGTGAATGTATGAAAGGAGAAAAATGTGCACATGAAAAGAAGGGCAGCGTAGACTGTCATATAGGATTTTTTTTACTGCCTTTAGAACAAATTTCGGATTTTATTGTCCTCTTTGACGAGGTTCAGTCTTGATAAATCAGGAGTTCTGGAAGAATAAGTCTGTCCCTCTACCAAGCATTGAACTGAAGTAGTTTGTTGTTTGTGTCTTTTCCTGTGCATGCTCACCCCTCCACTGCGAGTCCTAGCGATTAGGCCTAGTGCAGCGAGCAGCTAGGCCTGTTGGCACTATAATGTACACTCCCTTTATTCTGTAGCTCTGGCCTCGAGTGACATGAGGCTGAAATGCACACAAACACTTTGCAGCAGTGCACTCTGACGATGGATGTTCTCTGCTTATTTAAATCCGACTCTGAGATTCTGAGAGGGTTAGGGAAGATGATGAGGACCAGAAGGAGGAAGGACAGGAATCACATGTTTGTCTAGAAGAAAAAAAAAAAAGCTCGGAATGTTCATCAATCTGAATTTAATTGCTATGTGAGCTGTTATTATATCATCTGAGACACAACACAAACCACACTTATATACTGGTACAAAATGCTGATAAAATATTAATTGTCTGCTTAAAACCACTGACTGAAATCTATAACAGACCAACAGGGAGTGATTTAGCTTGTTCAGTTGGACAAAATAACTAGAGTTTAGCTGTTGCATTATTGTTAGACTACTGTTAGGCATGAATGTGTAACAGCACTGTGTTTTCAAATTCCTGACATGACATATAACACTAAATACCTTACAGTTAATAATTCATAGCTTCCATAGTTCCTTCTGTTTAAGATAAAAACATTTCTTCCAGTTTTTTCTCCTGTCCTAAACATCCTAAATACTTGCTCTACAACCAGGCTAAGCTTTTTGCCACCATTCTATTGCCTTATAAAAAACACTCAGCCTCTCAATGTCTTCAGTGGTTTTAAGTAGATTTTAGCATCTTTTCTTGTTTGGTTCTGCAGAATAGGAAGCATCTGCAGCGACAAAGCATGGCTTTGCATGAGAGAAAGCATGTGGCATTTATTTTATATGATGAAAATTAACCAAAAGCAACACAGACGATTGGCCGGATGAATGATGTCTTGGCTTTGCCATCCTGTGCCTGTATTTTCTGCTGCGTCTCCCTCTTGTCCAGTAATCTTTATTCATCACCTGATTCATAACCAGGCATTGGGGTCTTTGTGGGTTCAGAAACTTGCAGATTAATATATTTAATATCATTCTTGTAATATGAAATCATGATTTTGTGTCTTAATCAATCTTCCTTGTTGACTCATCTCTTTTTGTTTCTGGGGAGATTTTTTATTTTTTGTATTTATCTTTTTGTTGCTTTTTTAATGATTTAAAATATATTTTTTGTATATTTAACATGCTGTCTGAAGCATTTCTACAGTGGAGATTTATTTGTGAAGTGAATATACTAACAGGGTGAAAGCTTGTGGCGCGTGTCTGACGGCAAACTGAAGAACCAGAACAATGAAGTTAAGGAATGAACTTGCTCATTCCAGAAGTGCCTCTTTCTGTTTTAACAGTGGGAATAAAATGGAGCAGGACTGTTTCACTCCTCATAGACATGTAGACCAGGCACTTCTCGCACTCGTCCCAAAATATGTAAGCGGCTTGATGGTGTTTCATGGTAGTGTGCAGTTGCTGCCATGGCAACCGTGGTGTCTGCTCACCCCAGGGGGGCTGAAAGCTCTCCTCTCATTTGGTTCTGTTCATTTGTTTGCACCTTTTCATCGATTCTCGTTGTTCTGGCGGGTCCTTTCACCTCGCCACAGACATCTCATCTCATCTGCTGCAGAGAGAGGTCTCTGGCTCTCTGGCTCTGGCAGCATTAATCACAGTAGAAGTTGTACAGTTTCTTTTTATTGATGGATCCGCCTGTGGGTAATTGATTTGTGCAATAACAGTTGTTCATCTCATTTTCTAGACCTGTTTTAATCGATGACATAAATGCAAGATAACATTATTTTTGTAAAGAAATCTGAAAAGAGAAAAAAGATTTAGGTATACAAGAAGTAGTAGCATGGTTAGGTCTTTGACTCTTTGTAGAGGAAGGTTTCCCAGGAGCCTCTGGAAATTGAAATTCATATTGCAACAGTAATCTGCACTCTTGGTGTCTCAGTTGGTCTTTTTGGAAACCTTATCTGCTTATCTGGAAGACTGTGTGGCGAAGCTGCTCCTCTCATTCGAACCTCCCCAGGCACACAGAGAGTTTTATCGTGCTTCCTTCCATCCTCTCCTTCAGTCGGAGCAGCTTTGATGAGCCCAGATCTTTTTTCCACTCCTTACGGGACTGTGAGTTACAGCAAACCAAACCAGAGCGAGAGAGAGAGAGGAGCAAAATTCCAGAGTTATTTTTCACATCAAAAATTAAAACATTGTTTGTTTTTTTACATCATGATGAATAAATATGATTTTAACAAATGAGTGTTTGTGTTGGAGTGTGTTTTCCGTCTGAGAGTATATCTTCATTTTGATTTATTTATTTATTTATTTTTATTTGTGCATAATATGGTGTGTGAGCAGAATATAATTCTGCTCACACAATTAAATTTTTCATGTGCCAAAGTGGATGTAATGCTGATTTGAGAACTTTTTCTTGTTTATTTAAAACAAATAAGAAGTAACCTGTATTAATAGTATTTTTTGGAAAAATATTTTGTTTCAGGGTGGTTTGGTTTTCAGCCAGCAGGTGGCAGAAGAGTGTTGCTTGTAAATTTAAAGTCCAAACAGCGTCTTTTTCTGTTCTGTGAGCAGAATATTGTTCTGCGGATCCACACACATTTTGCTGCTCACACACATTCTCAATAAATTAATATGCAAAGCTAAAGATTTCATTGCAAAGCTAAAGATTTCATTTAACAATCTCCAAACTGAGCTCTTTCACAGAATATTTATTGGACCATTTTGGACATAAGTAAGCAGCATTTGCACATGTTCTTGTTCTTGCCGTCCCTCTGCCCATCTGTTTTCTGCCCATGTGAACATTCACTATATGTAAACAATCATAAAAATCTGTTTTGCTGTTAGAGGAGAGCATCTGGATGTTGGTTACAGAGCATTGCTTTAAAAGCTTAATGAGCTAAACGTGTTCATTTGTCGTCCCTCAGGGGTTGAAGCAGGGAGCAACCGGATCGTCTCCTAAGGTTCTGTCTGTTTGTCGTCGATGTGAGTGTGGAGAATAATTTTCACAGTGTTTAAAGTCTCTGCTGCCTTTAATCTAAAACCCTCTGAGTAATGGGATGTTTATAGCAGATCTGACCACTGTGTAATTGAGCTGAAGGTGAGAGCTCTGAAAACATACAAATGACACTTTATATGATTTAGGATGTTTGAAGCAGTTGCTTGTAACACCATCTGTCCACGCTGGTGAAGTCTGCTTCAGGTAAGTATTAAATAAGTTTTCTTGCTGCTGTGCAGGATTGATTTGTAACTAAGCTGTTACAAGTTTACAGTATAATAATCCAGTGTGCAATGCTGGGATGGGAATGAAAAAGGTCTGTGTCATGCATCTTCATATAATAAGTAATAATATAACCCTTCCATAAATTATTTGACAAAATTAACACAAATTAATATTGTAATAGTGTGACTGAAAGTGTGTTGTCAGGTTTTATTTCAATTGAAACAAAACCCAAGAATCAATTGTGGACAGTAACATCAGGTTTGTTATAATATTTAATGACAAGAATAAACAAAAAGGCCAGCGCTACTAAAAGTCACCTGGAATCAGTACTCATTTAAATGAAAGCTACGATTGTCATCAAGAGGACACAAAGGTCAAAGGTGAGCCTCTTTGCTGTAGGTAGTGACTCCCCGTGGCTCTGGTCCACTTGCCTCTGGTCCGTCGTACGGTTACCCACAGAGTCCCTTCAGGGCTCAAGTTCCCTTGGACTGACAGAGGATCCATGTCCTCTGGGAACAGAGATTTATGGGTGAAGGTGTTACTCACGCTCCCATCATCCAAAACCTGAAGAAGAAAGACAGAACGTCAGAAAAAGAGACAAAATATGGTCCAGAAACATGAACTCTAGTTGGTCAAGAGTGGAAAACAGACAACAAGGCGAGAGGTAAAGTTTGTAGCTTTTAGATGTTCAGCACTTTTGTATGTACAGCAGAAAATTACATTTTCATCACTGCCTGATTAAGAAGGTCAACTGGAGTTTTCATGGTCATCAGTGATAAAAAAAACAAAAAACTACGTCATATCGAAGAGCTTTTTACTTCTACTGTCTGTCACTGTTCAGTTTGTTCTTCATGAGGAACTTTTCAGACATCTGATGATTATCTGCAAAACTAATAATGTGGAATGTGGAAAGAACAAATGGAAATATGGACAGAAGATTGAGAAAATGTATGGCCATGGCCAGAATGTTTAGTGTTGAGGTCAGAAGAACGAGCTGTGAAGTAAATTCAGTCGTTTTGATTCTGATCTCAGTTCTGGCGTTAAGAAGCGCTTCGTGCAGTTTCTGTAGTCGTGGAAACTGCAGGAAGGGAGACCTCGGCTCGGCCGTGACGCAGTCCCCTCCTCTATTTCTATGTTTCCCCCTCCTGTCTTTTGCACTTTCTGGCCATCAACCCCACTAGGTGTAGCTGTACGGCGGTAGAGTGATGCTATCACACATGCAGAGCAGCAAACAGGTGGCTGCTGTTCGCTGCCAGGCTGCATTGAGACGTGCGAGCGCCGGAGCTGCTGCTCGTTCTGGGTTTCTGAGACTGATGGACACGTCCTTACGCACTGCGTGACAAGGAGACGCGGAGACAGGCTGTCACAGTCTCCATCATGGGTGTGATCAGTTTGGATTAAACGGTTGTAGGCAATTAAAGGTCGCGGGAAAGTCAGAGAGAAAACAACGTCTGTGTTTGTTTATTATTAGATGGGAGCAATGGATCGATGATGTGGGTCGAGTCTGATGTTTGATTTCACGCGTGGAAGACAGGCGTGATCGTCTGGGTCTGGGTGACAGACAAAGGTCCGCGGAGAAACTGAGGTTGCCAGGTTGTTTCCTGGCAGCCTTCAACCAGTAGGTGCATAAATTAGGATAAAATGATGATATTTTAAAGGTTCTTAACTTAAACTCCTGGAACAACCGAGAGCGTCTCTAGTCCTATAAAACTCCGGGGATTTTGCATCAATGCAGGAGCAAAGACAGAAAAAAAGAAGAAGAAGCGTGGTCCTACCTTGCAGCTAAACTGGGTCAGCGCGGTCAGAACCATGGTGTCAGGATGCGCCTTTCACGAGCCTAACAGTCGTTTAAACAGTGCATCCATCCATGGTGTCAGCAGCTCCTCAGTGTGTGCGCTTCTCACCAGCGTGCTCCCCTAACAGCGTCTCGCAACTCTCGTAGCATCGCGATGCTTCGGCTGCAGGATCCCAGCCCCTCGATGCTCATCCAGGCACCGCAACCGTAAAAGCGCAAACCCTCTTCACACGCACACACACACCAAGTAAGCGCACACATAAGCGCACACACTAAGTAAGCGCACACACATGGAAATACGCGCTTCAATATAAAATAAAGTCCAAATCACACATGGTGTTTTACGGTACAAGAGTTGTTTTGGTGCCACTGAAGCCGAAAACTGCAATCGGACAAGCGCTTTAAATAAAAGGTAAATTAAATAGTAAATAAATAAACATAGAGGTATAATTCAAATGTTTATTCTAGGAAGCTTTGGTTTATTGTTTGTGAAAACTCAGATTTTTTTTTTTCCAATTCATAAGACCAGTTAAAATGTGTTTTTAAATTCAGAAATGTTGTTTCAAGACGGGAAAGACAGTTTTCCAGCAGACAGCCAATGACATCCTCCACAATGAGAGTAATCAACAAAACATGTGGAGACTTGGCCGGACCAGTTTCCTCAGTACTTCAAATGGCAAAAATCAGGTATGGTAACAAGCAGAAACCTCCCTCTGCTTTTTCTCCCGAACATCCTGTTGTTCCACGAATGCCTGAAAAATTCCATCAATATTATGCAAAGTTGGCTGCTGCTGAAGCTCCTTGTTGTTTTCACTTGCAGAGGCTCCTGCAGGCAAAGACAAAATCGAAGATATATGGATGGCAACACTTAAACAGCTTACAGATATAATGTCTCAGTGGTGTGAAGCTAAAGCTCTAAAAATAATCTGGTCATTTTAAAGTGTTAGTGTGGGCGTGTTTCTACTCTCAGAACTCTTTTTCCGTGAATCAGGCTTTTTCTCTGAGTGGCTAAGGTTGGCTTAAGATTTTTGTTTAATTTTTGGGATGCATGTTTTTCACAAAACCAGAGTTCTTCAAAAAATGCCACCCATGCTCATAAAAAACAAACTTCTCAGACAGTCCTCTTGTTGTGATACAACTTTGCAGTACGGAGAATTGGTTTACAATTCCACGTGCTGCTGGTGGTGCTGAAGAACTTCTGAAAACTTAGTGGACGTCTTCATATGGAAAAAGAAACTGTAATAAGTCTCCAAGTGCAGCATGCAGATAGTGTGATAACTTTCATTGCACCAGATTTTGAAGGATTAAGTCATTGATATTTAAATTTTTCAAAGTAAGAAATAAGCATTTTTATCCTGTGCAACAAGTTTGTTGTTTTTTGATCATAAGTTTAATTTACGAACGTATTATTTGGGGGTTAATATTATCATTTCTGTTAAAGTGTGTTACAAATTGTTTTTATATTAGGCTGAAATTATTGCAGCATTCTTTTTTGTTTACATACTGACTTACCAACACAAGGAATTCTTTTTTTCTGTGATACATAATGTCTCTCTTTGACTATAAAATTTTATCTGTGAAATGACAGCCTGTGTTTGAATGAGATTACAAAACAAAAGGTAAATTAACAATGAAATGGCTTTTAAATCAGTTAAATTTGCAATTACTGTACATTGTTTTTAATGACAGTGGAGGTTAGTCCTGTGTTATAAACCAGGCAAGTCCAGATGAAACAGCAATAGAACAGAAACCATATCAGTTTGACCCACATCAGTTTGAGTCTGTACTCAATCCATGTTCACACATTTGAAAAACTTTTACATGTCATACACACTGCTAGCAATGCACAATTGTACACACTGAATCTAAAGCAGGTAATCCTTCTTACGAATGTGTCATTGTACATTTCGTACAAAGCTAGTGACATGAGTTTACAGAGAACTTTAGGACTTCCCTAAAGTTCTCAGAAGATTTGCTGAACAACATCCTCGGCAAAACTCAACTGATGGAAAACATTTCCATATCGGCATGCAGGCATAATGTTTGTAATGTTTGCTTGGCAGCTGGATAGAGATGCTGTTTTACACGTCCAGTGGAAAGATGAATAGTATATTTTCTGCATTTTATTTTTAATGGAACAATTCAAGGACATCTCATGTCACGCAAAAGAGTTAACCAAGATGGTAAGGTAGGATAGCAATGTTTTTATTATTTGTAAATGTTCTAAGTTGCATCTCTAAAATGTAGCTTTTTGACACCTACATGCAAGCTGTGCATGTAGGTGTCAAAAGGTTCAAGTTTTCTGTACTGAGCTGATAAATGGTTTCCTCTCTGCATGTGTTGAGTGACAATATCTGGAGCCTAAATCACTTTATTGTACATAGAGGCATGAACAAGGCTCCAATAGTCACTCAAATAAAACAAACTGTTCTTCTTTTAACACTTTTCTCAGATATCCTGACCTTTCTCCCAACCCCACCTCCCCCCCAAATAAATATGTCCCTCTTCTTTTAAAAATTTAGATATCATCTTGCCTACAAATCTGATATGGATTTTGATAAATCATTATGCTGACCTAATGCAAATGAGTGTTTGTGGGGTAGAGAAAGCATGTCTTTATTTGTGTAATCTCTATTCATTACTGAACCTAGTTTCCACCATCACACCTGATAATGCAACAACTTTTGTTGGAGCAAATCGAGAGCTGAAAGAGAGTTTGGCTGAACGGAACCATGCTAAAAAAATCCAAATGCTTTTGTGCAGGATGGCATCAAATAGATCTTTAACATCCCAGCAGGCTCTCATCAAGGTGGCGTTTGAGAGCGTCTGATTCGTTCCATGAGAAGTATTTTAGTCTCAGTTCTTAAAGAACAAATTTTGGATGATGGACTTCAAAAAATATTTTGTGAAGTTGAAGCCATATTAAACGACAGACCCATTACCAAAGTTTCAGATGACTCAGATGATCTTGAGGCACTCATCCCAACCATTTGTTGTTGGTTGAAAAACAACCCAGTTTTTCCACCAGGACTGTTCAACCAAAAAGATCTTTATGTCAGGAAAAGGTGGAAACCAGTGCAATACATGGCATAGCTGTTCTGGGAAAGATGGCTTTCTGAATACTTACCTTTGATGCAGGAAAGACACAAATGGACAAGAACTAAAAGATGTCTCATTCCTGGTGATGTTGTCTTAACTACAGACTCTACATCTCCAAGAGGATCATGGATGATGGCCAAAGTCTCGAGTGTAAACCAGGATGCAAGACTTGATGCATTCTGTGTGATTACAAACAAAGACCAGTGTTTTGGAAAGACCTGTGACCTGTGACCTGTTGGTACCGGAAGCATCACCCAGAGGAATGAAGAACAGGTTTGAGGGAATAGATTCTTTTCCTTTTCAAAGTAATTGTGACAATACTCAGAATTAAGGCTCGGAGTGTTGGAGGTATTTATTCTTTATTTCTTTATCCATTTGAATTTTGTTAGCCATGAAGGCACTATCTTCAGTGCTCACCACGTAACTTTGTCATTCCCTGATTATTCCAATTTGAGTTTTTTTGTTTGTTTTTTTTCTTGCAATGTATTTTTTAAGAAATCAGAGACGATCAGATTTGCGTATAACGATGTAATACATTTTTATCCATACACTTTCTATTTTCATTTGAATCAACTGATGGAAAACAGTCAATTTTCAAATTACCATTTGAAAATAGAAAGTATATGGCACAAAATTTAAAGACTCAATGGAATAAAATCTTTAAGCAATAGGCAGTGTTACTGGGGAAAAGTGCAGAAATATCTTGAAGACAAAACTTAAAGGACAGGAAGAAAAAAAATCATGTGGTCAATTGAATCAGGTGTTCTGGAACAAAGACATAAAGCATGTAGAAAAGCTGATCTAGAGTTAGTTTGTGTGATGAGAGGTAAAGTTTTATTGTTTTCAGGTATTTAAGAAATTCTGAAAAAATGATTAAGAATTAGGGAAAAAAACTTGAAACTCAAACAGCTAATTAACAAATTCAATATCTGTTTGGAAGAAAAACAAAAATGATCTTTGCACAAGATTAAAAAAACTGAAAATGAGAAATCATAAAATGTGAGACATTTCCTTTCGTAGGGGTTTTAAACCCACTCTGCATAATCAGTGTTAACTGCAGTATAATGACATAATCAACAGTGAGCCAACAATAGTGAACTGACCACCAGGCTCACAAGACTCTAACATCCTCTCACTGTGTTTTCTGCTGAAGTGTCACATGGAGCGCTGCAGCCAGTGGCACATTATAATTTTTATTCTTTATTATTATGACTTGCTACAGGAGCACCCAGCTGTTCATCTGTCCTCACAGAAGGAGAGCAGAAACTATACAGAGACAGTCAGCAGTAAATCATCCATGTGACTCAGATGGAGTTGAAACATCCAGATGTGTTTGTTCTGTCAGTTCAGCTTTGTGTCTGAACAGAAACACAGAAAATAAAGTATCTTTCTCTTTTGCATACAGTAAGCCTGTTTCATCACCAACATGGAAAATATTTATCTGCTGTCAGACTGCAGCTTGTTTCGAGTATTTAAGATAACATAAATTAGAATCAAATCAAACTGAAAAACAACTCAAAACAAGATCCTAACACAGCAGACTTGTTCTTATGGCTGCAGCTTTGTCCACTTTTCAATTATGCACAATTTATGGTTAGTGTTTGACTTATAATCTCAATGAAATACATTAGGTTTAAGGTTGTAGCACGACAAAATAAAAGTTCAAGTGGTCTGAGTGGTTTTAACATTAGACAAGGTGCTTGGTGGCCATCTTCAATTCATTTTATTTGTCATTTTAAAACAATGGTCAGGATTTTAAAAATGACTGAAATCAGTTTTCCAACTTGTAGCACCGTAGACACCATGTCCCCGATTGGGTATCTGATGGAAAATGGCTTATTTGCTGATCTTGAGGCTGAGTATTTGTGTTTATCTCATACCTCCAGCCATTTTCCACTGCAAATAAGTAGCTTCTTGGAATCCTTGTTTAACCTTGAAACAGCTGCTCTAACAGAGGAAGGCTTGTTATTCCAATGAAATACCTACAATAGCACTATTTGCGTGTATAACTAAAGATTTTCTGATGTTACAGAGGATGCTTACAGCCTCAGTCTCTTTACCCATTGATTGCCTGTGTTCAAAGTTCAGCAACCAAATCTAGAAAACAACAATATCAAAACAACAACCACAACAGCAACATCATCCATTCCAAAAGCTTTTTATTTGATTCAAGCAATATTACATTTTTAAGTTAAGGCCAGATGTAAAATCTCAATAAGATAAATTTTCTTGAAGTCATGTTGGTGAACTTGTGGCATAAACTGTAGAGTTTCCACCATAGGTGTAAATCCCAGGTGAGTCTGGGGGGGTGGGAGGAAAGGGGGAGAAGGGTCCAGATCCCCGCAGTCTGGAAAAGTCTAGAATTAAAATTATGACACTCCCTATATAATAATTTCTATATGTTTATTTGTTCTTAGTCACCCAGGACATGCCAAAACTAAAGAAGGCTTAAAAATAAAGCAACTTAAGTTATAATTCAAACAGGCCATAACTTGTATTGGAAGCCATTTCAATAAATCACCGTTTATGAGAAATTTTATTAAGAAGAGTTACTCATTAAAACTTTTGTATTTAGAACCTTCAATTTTTGTAAAGGTGTAGCAGAGATTAGATTGTCAGACTGAACAAAACTCGTATCTAAGCAACATTTGAATTTTAGTTTTACTTGTCTGCAGGCCGCTTACAGAAAATAAAACATGTTTGCTGTCCATTACTTGTCATTTTTGGTCCTGCAGCTTGAATGTGGTTTAAAAACTTTTTAAACCACATTTTTTGTTACATTTCAATGGAACTTCACCGACCCCCCGAACCCACCATAATCCAATACTCCCTCCCAATAATCACATGGGATTTACACCCTTGACTGCCACAGAACATCAAACACTTCAGTTTCTTTTAATCAAGCTTCTCAAGACTGATTCAGTCAACCACAAACTGAAATTCAAAAAGAGCTATCCTTTGTTCAGCTGACCTGATGTCAAAATCTGATCTTTTGATATCAAACACTTTGAAGAATTTTCCACTTATTCATCCAAAATACAGTGGATTCACTAGAAACAGATTTTTAGAAGAAATCTTTCAGTAATGATGTACTCACATGGATGTGAGCTGTACACACATAGTAAATAGAGGTTTTGTTTCTATGCCCATAGGAACAGTTCTTGGAAAAATGCAGCAAGGAAATGGTTCTTCTAGGAGACAATGTAAGCTTTTGGATAAATTTATAATTACAAAATAAATCTCATTCAACAAAAAGGAAATTAGATTTTTTTTAATCTGTACAGTTGACATACAATTCAAATTCTGACACAAAAAAATAAATCAATTTTTTTTTTACAAAGTAATATTATGAAAAAAGTCAACATTGTCCTCAAAGTGAATTTGACAAGAGCAAAACTGTGATGGCAACTAGTCAGAGCATCTTGTACCTCTTGTGGAGTTTTAATTGGCAAAGAGCGCTATGTATTAAAAGAGATTAAAGAAATAGAAAGAAGAAAATAGGCATGTATCACTACTGATGTCCTAGCTGATATTTACCTTGGTTTTTGCCTTAAGATTTTCTCTATGTTCTGTAGATGGTTTTGTCTGTAGAACAAAACCATCACAAAAAAAAGTGATGGTTTTGTCAGGAAAAGGGAGACCAACACTCAGGTGGTCGTTGCGTTTTCTTGTAAATGTTGGATAAATTACATGAATATTTTTAAGGTATTGGAAAAAGGCTTGACTCTGAGCATAGGTTTTGCAGGGACAAGTTGCACTGTTAAATGGAAGGAGGCTGGGCTCCACGCCACTCTCAAGTCCCGCCTCGCGCGTGTTTCTTCCTAAAGCTATAAAATGAAACGCTTTAGCACGATAATAGAGTCGCAGCGTGAAGTTAGAGTTCACCTAGTGAACTGCTGTACGGACACTTGAGACAGACTGATGCTCTGACCAGCCAGCGCGCGGAGAGACGTCGCTGACCGGGTTTCTTGTCACTTCCAAGCCGACAATCCCTCCATCTAGTCGCCGGGTGAGGTACGGAGGAGAGCCATGGCGGGGGACGGTTCGGACCAGCGAGCCCTGCAGTATGAACAAACTTTGGTGAGTTTCACTTGTTGCATTTTGGCACTTTAGTATTTATCCACGGTCAGGGGCGCCTTATAGGGGTGGAAAGTTCTGACAAGTCCAAGGGCCCCTGACCGACAGCGGGCCCTCCACTATTTATTTATTTATTTATTTTTATCCATAGAAACTAAACAAGGGGCCCTGTCAATTTTCTAAAGTTGTTTTTAGCAGTAAAAATGAAATGTTCCCACTCCGAGATCAAAAAACCCTGAATCCCAGCTGGATCTGCTTGAAATGGTTCGTTCCTGCTTGGAGCGCTTCAGGTTCAGCAGCAGTCAGTACAAGACAAGAACGACTGTGGCAGTTACTATGCTGCAAAGAAAAATAATGAAGTAAAGTTTTCAAAAAAAAAAAAAAAAAAAAAAAAAAAGATAGAGAAAGAAGTAAAAGTAAAAGTGTCAATTTGTAACCCAGTTTTTCCTCCTAGAGGTGGGTAGACTGTGAGATCATGAACCATTCCACATACTTAGCTTAGCTACAGACTAATGTTTGCCTCCGTTTTACTAGCATTTAATGAATTAAGGGGAAAAATATTTATTTATTTATTTATTTACATATTTGTTAAAACTGTCATGTTGTGACTATGGCATGAGATAATCTGCAAAAAATCTTTTTCCTCTGCCTTCTTCCAGTACTATCTAGAAACAAATAATCAGAGACAGGAGAGTTTTAGTGCTGTCAATTACAATCTCATGAGGCTGCTCAACCCTCTGCTGCAGCTAGCATAGCCTGTTGTGATTGATTGTTTTCACAAATTATCTGTCTCATGACAAACTGTCACAACAGTGACAGTTTTAACAAATATGGAGAAAACATTTTTTTATTAAAGTTACAGACTGCAGCTTGAATAAAATGCAACAACATAGCATTTTTTGAGAAGTCTGGATTGCTTCATGTATATTTTGCATGTTGCTATGACTGTTGCTTGTGGGGAGAGACATTTGAGAAAATGAAACTAGTAGAAAAAATTTAAGCAACCTACTTGCATACTGTTGCATGTAAAATTCAAGAGCAGTAAATATTGTGTTAGTTATCAGTATTGACCGAATAAATCAAGGCAGTGGGAAGCCTTTAAAGTTGTGACGCTTTTGATAGGTCGTATAGACTCAAAAAATTGTTACAGCAGCTGCGTGGGGGGGCCCAATTTAATTTTTTTTCATGGGGCCCAAGATTCCTGGCAGAGCCCCTGATACTCATCACACATATTGGATCCACTTCACACTTGAGCAAAAAACTGATTAATACCAATGATGGTTGGTTCAAGAGGCCTCTATTTCTTCCAGTAATAGACTACATCACCAAAATTAGGAGTTTATGCATCCTGGACTGATGGATATGTCCATTCATGTCAGGGATAAATATGTCACTGTTCTCATCTGTAGATGTATGGGCGTTACACCCAGGAACTTGGGGTGTACGCCAAAGAGGAGGCAGCCCGACTGAGGGAGAGCGGGAAGAAGCGCTCTATCAGTGAGCAAAGCCGTAATCTGGACCAGCAGGAGTACAAGGGACGCTGCGCCAAGTGCCGCAGTAAGTACAAGCAAGCAACTCCTATTGGTCAGAATGTGGTCCATGTGAAGCTGCAGAAGTAATCTTTAAATTCAGAGTAAGTGTTGTAGCTTTTATCTACAGACATTTTTTTTCCTTTTGGTTAAAAGACAGTTTGAATTGATTCTTATCAGGGTCTTCACATCAGCACCTGCAGAACGTAGCTGCTCTGACTATCATGTTTCAATAATCAGCTCTGCTGTGCAAAGTGTGTGGCCTTCACAACTGAAAAAGCTCATTTAACATTATATTTAGAGAAACTGTCAGTCCAGTGATTGGACCACTCTTAATAAGATTCAGACCAAAGACTGCAGTGATGTCATTGAGGGTTTGTAATGAAGGCCTTTTAATTTCAACATACTGCCTCTTTTTAATAATTATTCTCTTCCAGTGTCAATATCACAGGATATTGATTATTTTTTTAAACCAGTTATTGAAAAAAATTGAGTCAAAAATGTGTATAAACACAAATTAGAGGATAGGTCTGACACTGCATCTCTCATCACTGCCTGATTGTTTTCATTACTTTGGTGATAAAAATACAATGCTGGAACCTCCTTTTTTTGAGTCTGAACTGGATGTGGTTCTCAAAGCTTATTGCTTAGGAAGCTCAGACTGTCCTGGACAACGGATCAAAAAACTATAAATTAAGCAGCATCAGACAATCATCATAACCAGAATTTCTTCTTCGTATAGTCTGTCAGCATCACGTGAACATTCAGAGCCCTGCAGTGAACAGGGGATTCACATGAATTGTCCTTCACCCTTCTCTGGTTTGTTAGTAGTGAAATCAAGGGTGTTTGTATGAGAGCAAGTGTGTGAGATTGAGTTACAAAATGAACTGCACCAAGGTTTCGTACAAATATAGTAACACAATCGAATAAACTGACAAAAGGAAAATAAAACTAAAACATCCCAACAGAAAAGTTAGCATATCAGGTCTTAATTAAATGCTAATGAATAAAAATAACTTTTTAGAAGCTTATCATCAGCTTATCATATTAAGCTGATAATCATAACAGCTTCTTATATGAAGAATCTGTGATCAGCTCTGATCTGGAATAGAAGCAACAATGGAGAAAGCCCCGTTTAATTGACCTCACCTCGTTTTGCTAATTTTTCTAAATAAAGAAATCCCAGAGTTTGCCAGAATATACAACTCATCGGTCTGGTGTCACTTCTCATTCTGTGACAGTAGAGAGCCCTCTAGTGTCGTCAAAGCATAACTGCAGGCAGCTTGAACAGCATTTTGTCCCAATAAGCAGATTTGTGTGTATGAGTGTCCTCTGTTCTCATCTTCCTAATGAGCTTCAGTGTTGTTTTTCCTGGTAGCTGATGAATCGGTCTTCTATTACTCCAGCAGCTCTTGTACTCTTCAGATGGATCAGAACACCGGTTGAGGTATCAGTGATTTAATTGATTAGCTCTGCAGGCCGCCATAATTATGAGAGATGTTGTTTGAACAACAGTTTAGCCTTATGCTCACATGTATGCCTGCAAGAGAAAAAGGCAGAGATGAATACACTGCAAGGGAGAGCTGTTAAACATGCTGTAGAGGATGGAAGTACTTGGCAATCTGACACTTTCTGACTCATTTTATGAGCTGCAGACAATGTGTTGCATGCGTACAAACAAATAGAAACACATTTCTTACAGGAGGCCCATATGTATCTATATTTCATTCATAACACACACTCACACATGCACGCAGTCTTGCTCATTCATTGCGGTGTAATGATGCTGAATGCTGCAGCCAATGGCATTGTCAGCATATCATCAGCCATCTCTGTCCCCAAGGATGCTGGCATCTTTTCAGCTGTCTTCAGTGTATGAGAGAGATATAGAACGGGAGAGTGGGGCAGTACAAGCTGTACCAGCCCCACTCTAGATTTTCTTCTCAGTCAAACGCAGAGACAGTGGAGCAGCTTGAGCAACAGGTATCATGTCTGTAGTTATTGCCAGCTATGTCACAGATTGCCGATGAGTCACAGCTGACTCATGGCAGTTCACACGACTATCGTCTGTTAATATGTAAACACGATCAGTTTGGATATTGTTACTTTGGAGAAATAAATAAGAATATTCTGATTATTAGCAGCTTCTAATCAAAGAACTTGGCTTTTCAAGTGTTAAAGCAATAAGTCAAAAGTTTTCAGTGAAATTAGTCTATGGCTGCCATAAAGTCTAAGTAAACTTTTATATCTGCTTAAATCCAAGTTTTATTTTTGGCCCATTTTATTTTGAAAATAAAATTTACATTTTCTTTTTCATTTACTTCAACTTGTGTTGTGCACCTTTTTTGGTTTTTGATTTTTTTTTTTTTTGCAAAAAAAAAAAAAAAAAATGTTTTCACATGTCCAAGCCATCAAATAAGGCACATGGTAATTGACCAGGAAACATATTCTCTTTTTCTAATTTTTTTTTTGACCTTATTTCTGGATCAAAAAACTATAACTATAATGCAAGCACATCACTGAACTGCACCAATAATTGAGAATAATGATGATTTAAGGTTAATGATTGTGAATCTGTCTGAGCATAACATAAAAAAAATCTAAAACACCAAGTACAACCTTTGACTAGTTTTACTTTGTTTGGTTTCACTCCGTAATCTCAATTTCCTTGAGTTGCTGTATCCATTGTATCGTGAACCTGCAAACCAAATGGACCAAATTTCACCTGTAAATCCTTCAAGTTCTTCATTTAAAGTTCGGCTTCCCTTGCCCCACTGGTTGGATCCCACATCTTTCATTACCTTACAAGATTGGGTCCAGTCTTGCATCAGCAGCTGTGGCTGCACCTTTGACCTTTACAAGGGTACAGAAAAGCTGAGTTGGTCTTTTTTTTTCAGGAAACTGTTCATTTGTTCAAGAGCAGAAAGCAGAAAGCTCTGAGTTCATTAAGATTAACAAGCTGCAAAGTTGTAACTCTAAATTCTAAACTTATCTTGTAATATATCTGTTCTCACATGAGTGTTCTGCAGTTCAGTTTTCAATTTCATCAAATGTTTTTCAAATTGGCTGGAATCCAATTTGATTCTTATTGAGTTCATAAAGTATTACAATATAGTGACTTGTAGCTATCTCAGGGTTTATAACATGCTTTCAAACTTTTCACAGCATCAAGCTGCAACAGAAACATTCATTCAGTTTGACTTGCAAAGCACAGTTATTCACAACAAATATTCTTGAGGCAGAGAGAAAACTGGTAAAATTTCCATCCATCCACTGTTTTCATTGCAAGTTAAGTTTATATTAAAGAAAATCTAATTGAAGTTCTCTTTCACTTCTTCCTAAATAAACCAATTCAAGAAACAGAGTGCAATGAAGCAAAGTGAACCTATAAATATCCTGATTAGGTCAATGCATTTTAATTCAGTTGATCAGTCTTTATATAATTCTTTATTGTCCAATAGAAAAGAGAGAGAAGAGAAGAAATGAAGACTGAATGCAGTCTTTACTGTAGTGCTTCATTTTTAGTGTGCATGTGATGAAGTGTCATGGTGGAGACATGACCCTGAGCAGAACCAGACACTGGAAGGGTAGCCATCTGCCTCCATCAGCTGGGGGTTAAAGGACACACTCTCTGTTAAATAAAGACATGCATACATGCTGTTCAGTGAATGGTCCTATGAACGTTGATCAAGTTTTTATATCCAATAATTGAAATTTGAAAAATATAAATATATCATTTTTTTCATATATTATTCTTTCATGGTGAAAAATGTCATTTTGTCATGTATATATGAAGTTCAAATACAAGTATTGAGTTGGGGGATGCACCCAGCAGTAGTTTATTTGCATCAAAGTGGCAAAAGGCCTTAAATCAGCTCATTCCAAAAGGAACTTAAAATGAATCATTTTTATGCAAAAAATATAATCAATTTTTTTATGTAGCTCATAGACAATAGGTCTTCTTTTAAAGTCATTTTGTGGCTTTAGATATAAAAACAGATTGATTTTTTTCTGCAAAGTTGAATTATTCCCTCGTTGATTCAAAGCTCAAATAATGAAGCATTTCTTTGTGCTATTAAGTGGAAGTTTTCCCTTGAAACAGTCTGGCCTCATTAAATCTGGAAGTAACTCTCAGCTGCAAAGCTGAATGATTTTCATCCCCCTCAATGCCTCCATTTGGAGAGCATAAATAGGAAAACAAGTGCCGCAGGAGTGAGCATATGGTATTTTCACCAACTGTTGGCTGTTCAACCAGCCGGTGCAGTCTGTGGGGAAAGGCCTATTGCTGTTTGTGCATTGGACAGCAGGGGGCGGCATTGAACTTAACAGCACTGCATTGTGACTGAGGCAGCAGGTGGAGGAGCTCTGGCAGAGATGAAAAGTGGACTTCATGGAGGAAGTGGGATCCTGGCAGGGTTTCTCTTCCTCTGCGGATGAATTTTTTTTATTGGTGTATGTCTGAGTATAATCTCTGAGCATTCAGGAGCATCCACTCAGCTTTCCTTTTCACACTGCATCAATGGATCCTTCACAAATACTGGATATGAATTTAGATATTATTCTATATTTTGTGAAGAGATTCATCTTAAAGGGATGGCAGTATTTATCTGAGAAAATTGTTCAGTTTGAAAATCAGATGTGACTTTTTTGTACTTTTGTTCTAAAAGTGGAAGGCATGAAATTCTGAAGATACCAGGAAAAAATAGATCCACACACAAAAGGTAGAATCATTGCTAGTGTGCAGCCGTAGAATGTAACTCAACTCAACAAGCCTTTCTCAGGCTTGTTGTTCACTGTCCCCCTCTTCCATGCTTCACCTCCCAGGGGCAACACACTCTTAACACACAGTGTTAGCAGCTGTGTCCATGAGGTAAAAAAATCCACACATCTGCCGTTTCGTTTTCTGTCTCCCGACTCATTCCTCCTCTCACTTTCAATCCACCTTGCACTGATATGTCATATAATTGGCAAGATGACACGCACACACGTTTCACCTCAACAGGTGTGATGTCAGCAGGAGCTCAGCAT